ATATCCCAGCCCCTTGTGGTATTTCAGGCATGTCACACCACCTTCCTTCTTCTGGCCTGATTTCTTTCCCAAGGCTGTTCGTTTATCATACACAAGGCCATAATGTACCTCAGTTTTCTCTTTGCTAACATAACAGTCCTTTGTTAGCATAACTGTACCCTGGGTTTTTTCCTCTGTTTACCTCAGGTGGCTGCGACCAGCTCCTGCAGGGAGCTATGGCCTTGCTCTCTGCAAGCTGTTCTCCAACAAGAGACGCTCTCTTTTCCACTGGATTTCCAGAGGACAGGAGCTACTTAGCCACCACTGGACTTTTCTGAGGAAGAGCAGATCATCTTTCTACAGGATCACTGCTTTGGGGGGACTGCAGCCACCATTCTACCAGACTGCTACCACCACCCTGATTAACAGGCTGTCAGGTTGAATCCTGACTCTGTTAGTTTAACCCAATGTTATCTGCCTTTATACATTTTTTTTTCCCTTATTAAATTGTTACTCTGACTTGGTGTCTCTCACTAGTTTGTTTTCAAACTAGCACAGACACCTATGGCACTTTGCAGCCAATACTGACAGAAGCAATATTGAACAACATCACTCCAAGTCAGCAATAGGTCATCTTTACGCAAATCAAGGGGAGCCTGCTCTGATATTATCCCAGCATCAGGTATTTGAGGAGGTGACGGTATGTTGAGCTAGAAAAAGAGAACTGTGCAGGATCATCAAACAAGGCTAATGTCTCAGAGACTGTTTGGAAGTGGCTGAATTTTTCCTTCAATCGTCATAACTAGCACACTACATGGGGACAGATGTGTAAATGATGGCTATTTGAAAGGGGATGAGATTCTCTCTTAAGTCTAATTTAACTTCCATAAATACATTCCTATGTGGACCAACAAATTCAACAAAGTTTGTGGGGGAGCAGCAGGAAGGGGCTGCCCTGCAAGGGCAAGTGAGCTGGGAGGTGAGGGGAACAGCGGGGCAGGCAGGGCCATGTTGTCATCAACAAGGACACAGCCCCCCAACACCTGCACGTGGTGAGTGGGGCAGGGATGGGAGCAGGGACTGGGGATAGCCACGACCCTGAATCACTGGGTAAGTCTGCAGGGACAAGGCTGTGATGAGGTTGAGTCAGGAAAGAGCAGCCAGTGGAGTCACAGAATCAGAGAATACCAGGTTGGAAGGGCCCTCATGGACCCTCTGGTCCAACCTTTCTTGGTAAAAGCACCATCTAGACAAGATGGCCCAGCACCCTGTCCAGCTGAATCTTAAAAGTGTCCAGTGTTGGGGGATCCACCACTTCCCTGGGGAGATTATTTCAGTGGCTGATTGTGAAGAACTTTCCTCTTGTGTCCAGCTGGAACATCCCTAGGAGTATCTTGTATCCATTGTCTTTTCCACATGACTCCTTGTAAAAAGGGAGTCTCCATCTTCTTTGTAGCCACCCTTTAAATTCTGGAACATGGGGATAAGGTCTCCCCTAAGTCTTCTTTTTGTAAGACTGAACAAACCTAACTCAGCCTTTCCTTATATGGCAGGCTTCTCAGTCCCTTGGGATCATCTTTGTGGCCCTTCTCTGGACCCTCTCCAGCCTGTCCACATCTTTTTCGTATGGGAGGGCCTAGGCAGAGCACATAAGGTAAAGCCTGAGCCTAAACGCAACCCCCAAGCCAAGAAAGAGGTTAAAACCAGTGGGTGGAGGGCAAGATCTTGAGAAATCCTTCAAGTCACCTTCAAGTCTGGCAAAGGGAAAGGGAGGAGGAGGTCCTAGCGACAAGAAGCACATTTGCCTCATGGGAACAGAGTCCGACTGCATGCAGAAGTACAAGCGGAACTGCAATGGAATCTGCCTGTACACAGCTAATGTGCTGAATAATCATTTTTACTCTGCATTGTCAATACAGGGTCGCATTTTCCATTGTGTAAAACCTGCACCCAGAACTCCCCTTCCAAATGTGCAATTCCTGCATTCAGGGAATCAGCTCTTCCCTAAGATCTGAAAGCACACAAAAAAGTTAGGTGAGGGACAGGCTGGCCAAACATCTCTGCGCACTGTTCCAGCAGGAAAGATGGGGCTTTGCAGGAACAAAAGGCTGATAAAACCCCTGTCTTCAAATGTGCAATTTTTTTTTCTTTGTCTTAGATACGTTCCCCTTTCTTCTGACATTGGGTTGGTAGATCCACCCTGAACAATGAGTTCAGCTCACTCGTTTTCAGGTCTCCATATAACTTAGTTCTTTTCTAGAGAGACACCAAATGAACTTCTGTGGCTTGTACAGTTTTGTTTCCTTACACTTGTGGCTGCCAGGCGAAGTTTGAGAAGCAGCTCCCAAAGGAAAATAGAGTTATACTGCTGTTCTGCTGATCGAGGATGCCAATTAAACTCAGACACCAAGTGAAAGGAGTAGGCTGATTTTGCTGTTAATAATTAAAGGATATAACTAAGTAATACAGAAAATAAGCAGTAAGGAAAACACAGAATAGTATACTTAATTATTACCACATACAGTTAAGCAAGGCAATGCACCTAATCATTACTACACGATGGGGAGAATAGCGATTAAAAAAGATACATCACCACTTGCATACGTTACCAACATCCAGATCCACAGTCACTGGGGAGCCCCGGTTGCAGTGAGGATTTGGAGTACCTTTCCCTGCAAGTGAGAAGTCCTGTGATGCTTCCATCCATAGGTGAGGCATCCAAAGTCGCGGCAAGAGGGTCCAGCCTAATATACCAAAAATCAGCAAGTCAGAATAACTTGCACTTTTCTTTGAGTGGAAACATTTGGTTTCATCCTCCTGTTGGATTTCACCCAAAGCCTGGCCAGGACTCAGTGGGGAGAACCAAGGGAGTTTCCAACAAGGCCGAACACTTGAGTTCTCAGACTTGAACAAGGCTAAACAAGGAAAGTTGGATACACATTCTCACAGCATTTCATCCTCACTACTGATTATACCCCAAGCTACATCTTTCACTACTGAACATATGTATTTCATTAATTATTGGATACTCATAATTAACACTAATGGTAATACAGTTGTTACTAATTAACAGATACTAATAATGCATAACATTTAGTTGTGAATTTCATCCAGAGGTCAACTTTGTTTCAGGGTCTATTATTCAGGCCCTAGCACTACAACTGCTTGGGATATTGTGTGGGGGTTTTGTTTGTTTGTTTGTTTGTTTGTACCACAACTTCTGATACCAGTTTCAGCTCTTTATCAGTGTCTCTTTCCATGGCACTTGGTTTTCTCTGCTAGACAATACGCAATACACACCAGTGTCTATTAGGGACAAGACTTTGGCAGATGATAAATGGCAGAGAGGTGACATGTCAACATCCAGTGAGAAGCAGGTTTGAATTTAGATTCCTTCACTGCAAGTAAAAAGCCTAAATCCTGGAACCATGCACCTTCCTAAGAGCACAGATGGTATGCAAGCAAAAGTGTCAAGTAGTTTGGTAAAATATTTGTCAGTAGTGGGTGTCATCCCACCGATGAAAAGAGGAATTTTATCCACACGTCATGGCAAGATATGCTCACCATTGTTGTGAACTGTCCCACCCTGAAGGGATCAAATGAGGCTGTTCTTGGACAGCAAATGGAGTATCAGTAGCAGTAACGAATGTATAGCTCTTAATTTGGTGAGGGGTGGCTTCCCTGCCAAAAATGCATACATGAGTACATGCTACTGATAGAAGGCGGGGGGTATGGGGGGTGTTCCTGATGGCTTATGCAGCACTGGCCTCCCCAAGGGATCCCCTGCGTCCCTTCGTGCCTTGTGGCACGGGGGAGCTGGCAGAGGGAGTGCTCGGCGCAGCCTGGCACCGTGACCAATGGCAGTCCAGACTCTGCTCCCAGTGTACACAAAGGGTAGATTATCTGGGAGGAACACCCCCTGATATCCAAAATCCAATCTGATAGGTTCCCATCTGTCTTTAAACTGAAATTAACTTTGATAGTTTGGTGGCAGATTTAAGAGACGCCTGGTGCCTGTCTCTGTACCACCAAACAACATGCAGTCAGTAATAGAAAGGTTGACTTTTGGGATTATATGGTCTCTGTATGAATTAAGTGGGTTCAGCAATCTACAGCATCTGCCTGGAATTCAGTCTTATTCAGACCCATTTTGAAAGAGGTTAATGGCTTTGGTCTGCACCCATGGCAGCATCTAATTACCTAAGAATGTGATGGAGTGATTCAGAAAGCCTGAGTCGAGGCTGAAGACTTTAGGGCTGATTAGTGGGTATATAACAAACTCTGATAGTTTATGACATCAGCCCACAGTGGCTAGTTTCGTCCTTTCAATACGATTAATGACCTATGAACACAAGAACTGTTGGGTAGGTATGAAATAATATTCATCTTCATTTGGTGTTTTTAGCTACAAGGGGAATATTCTCTATGTAAAATAGTTGTAGGGAGAAGCTATGTGTGTTACTGTAAAAATCATGTGCACAGTAGAAATATTAAGAAACCTGCTGAAGACAAATAACTTCCAGAAAGGACTTCTGTGTTGTATTAATCATCGGGCTATTGGTAACACCTTATTAACATTTATGTCACACTGTACTGTAGACACCTCTCGGTTGTTAAAATAAAAAACAAACCAAAAATCCACCACACAAACAGAAAAAAAAAAACAAAAACAACCAAACCCAACAACAAAAAAAGAAAAGAGCAGAAAGGCTGAGCACCATCAAGTGGTAAATGTTGTAATAGCAGCGACAGCAGGGTTCATAGCTAGGTTTCTGTTAGTAATAATTGCGAGTTCTTCCCGATTGGGAACTGCAGCTTTTTAAGTTACAACACATTTAACATGAACGTGCTTAGAATCGAGTCATTGATTGCACACCAAACATACCCCAACGTTAAAGAAAGCTGTAATAGAACTTTAAATAGTCTGAAAAATTAAATAAGCCAAGATGTAGTTAAAAGGCATTTTGCCATAGCAATTTAATGTTGTCTAGCATAGAGCACTGGAGAATACTTTTTTTTACAGTAAGTGCACAGCCCTTTGATTGAAAATATGGGTGGCTCTTAAAAGAGCCTTTGGGTTAAAATTGACAGTCCGAGACACTACTTTGAGCTGGTGTACTTGGTGACAGCCTTGGTGCCCTCGGAGACAGCGTGCTTGGCCAGCTCGCCGGGCAGCAGGAGCCGCACGGCCGTCTGGATCTCCCGCGAGGTGATGGTGGAGCGCTTGTTGTAGTGCGCCAGGCGCGAGGCCTCGCCGGCGATGCGCTCGAAGATGTCGTTGACGAAGGAGTTCATGATGCCCATGGCCTTGGACGAGATGCCCGTGTCGGGGTGCACCTGCTTCAGCACCTTGTACACGTAGATCGAGTAGCTCTCCTTGCGGCTCTTACGACGTTTCTTGTCGCCTTTCTTCTGCGTCTTGGTCACCGCCTTCTTGGAGCCCTTCTTGGGCGCGGGGGCGGACTTAGCCGGCTCAGGCATCGCAGCAAAAACGCAGCTCGCACAAGCTGAAACGCCCACAAAAAACTGCAGCGAACACCGTCTAGCTGTCCCCCGTGGCTGCCTCTTTTATAGCAGCTCCGTGCAAAGCAGCGGCTCGACAGCGTCGCATCACTATTGGTTGGCAGTTCTCCTGCGGGTCGTCACACGGCGCTGAGCTTTTCGATTGGATACTTCTCGATTCTCGTTCCCATTGGCTGTCGAAACAACGCCTCCCCCGCGGCCTATCAGAGCGGGCGCTGCCGCTCCGCTGGGGCGGTATATAAGGAGGCGGCGGGGTGCGGCTGGGAGTAGGTGGCTGTTCGTGTGGAGTTGTTGCAGGTGTTGTTTTGCTGAATCGCTGCGATGTCCGGCCGCGGGAAGCAGGGCGGGAAGGCGCGGGCCAAGGCCAAGTCGCGCTCGTCGCGGGCCGGGCTGCAGTTCCCCGTGGGCCGCGTGCACCGGCTGCTGCGCAAGGGCAACTACGCGGAGCGGGTGGGCGCCGGCGCCCCGGTGTACCTGGCGGCCGTGCTGGAGTACCTGACGGCCGAGATCCTGGAGCTGGCGGGCAACGCGGCCCGCGACAACAAGAAGACGCGCATCATCCCCCGCCACCTGCAGCTGGCCATCCGCAACGACGAGGAGCTCAACAAGCTGCTGGGCAAGGTGACCATCGCGCAGGGCGGGGTGCTGCCCAACATCCAGGCCGTGCTGCTGCCCAAGAAGACCGACAGCCACAAAGCTAAAGCCAAGTGAACACGTCTAAGACTATTCAAGAAGTGAGAAAAAAGGCTCTTTTCAGAGCCGCCCACAACTGTCATAAAGGGCTGAGTTCTGTTTTCGTTCTAGTGAATGCAAGCTGCAACATGTAAGCTATGTTTTTTAAGATGTTTGCTTCAACTGTTCTGTTCTTTTTGTGCCTGAATTTTTGCAGATGTTTTGTTAATACTAAATGCTACTTTTGAAAGAAATAAGTTGCTTTCACCAAGGACTTTAATTTCTTGAGTCTTTTTCAGAATAATTACTTTTTTTATCTTTGTACTTTGAGAAAACTGGTTTATTTACTACTGTTAATGCTATATACAGTATTTATTAGAGAGTGATATGAACTGAAGTCTATATCAAAGTTATTTCTGTTCTGTTGGAAAGCATCAAAGAGTAGATGATTGCTCTTACAACTCTTCAAATGTAGTGTTTTCAAACTCGGGGTGGGGGACCAAAACGCAAAAAAACCTTGGTGAAATCACAGTCCTGGCAGTGACCTTATATCCATTCTTTTGTAACAAGATGTTTGTTTTCTGTCTCTGGCCTATTTTTCATTTCCAGCTTTTGCTGCATTTTAATGCTGTAATGTCAGAGTTCTGCTGGCTTTTCTTCGTTGTATTAACTCCGTAGAGCACTAGGGAAGGGTTTCGGGCAGGGCACGGTTACTATTATTCTCAGTGAGCTGCCTGATGTAATATGCTACCACAGTGATGATTGCTGTCTTACACTGGGAAGAGCATCATTAATTTTGATTTTCTTTTTTTTTTTTTCTGGCACTACTGGCTGGATCCACCCCTTTTTTCTCCATAAGGTATTGGGAGTTTTGACTGTAGAGGCTGCCAGCTTCTTGACTTTCCGTGGGCTTTTTTTTCTCTGTGGGGGTGGACATCATCTCAGTGATCAGCTGGGTGACACAAGCAACAGGAGTGATTTTCAACATTATCAGTTTTTCCCATCCCTGTCCTGCAATACAGGGAAGAGTGATATGGGCTAACATATCCGTGGACCTGGTGTTCACAGTTTAGCTTTCCAAAGATTAAGTCATATGTTTACCCATCTACAGGTGAGGGAAGTTTCCACTCCTCTGTGTCTGTGTTTGTTCCACATAATGAAACCGTCATCTACATATTGGAACCTCTGGAAATTATAGCAAAAATGAGAAAGGGTCCTGTGAAAACCCTCGTGTACATATGCATCATCTTGATGTTGTGTGAGGGGATTTAAATTCTAGTTTCTATACTAGAGACTTTCAAGAGTAAAATCTTTTGGGTGACTTTCAAATGAATGCTCTGTTATCAACAGCACAAATGCAATGTTACAGAGGAAACTATTCATTATTATTATTGTCATTATTCCTCTTACTTCCCTGTTGTTGAATGAATGAGCATCATGTAGCTCTGGTTTTAAATCATGCATCTGGGAAACAAAGCCTTAAAATAACTGTACAGCTATGTGAGGTCTAAGCTTTGAAGGGCCACAAGATCTCTAATGTATATCATACAGCCAGACACTCATGAAGATGTTTCATAGATGTGGTTTACTAAAACTGGGGTAAGTGGGCAGATTGGTTTTGAAAATATAAATGAAGTCTTCTGTAAGTGGCACAGATGGATTACTGGTGATTTCATTAAATTATACATTGGTCTAGGTTGGAAAGGACCTTAAAGACCATCTTCCAAACCCCCTGCTGTGGGCAGGGACACCTTCCATTAGACCAGGTTGCTCAAAGCCCCATCCAACCTGGCCTTGAACACTGCCAGGGAGGCAGCCACAACTTCTCTGGGCAACCTGTTCCAGTTCCTCACCACTGTCACAGGAAATAATTCCTTATATCTAACCTAAATCTACCCTTTTACAGTTTAAAACCCTTACCCCTCATCCTATCCCTACACTCCCTGATAAAGAGTCCCTCCCCATCTTTCCTGTAGGCCTCCTTTCAGTACTGGAAGGCTGCTATAAGGTCTCCCCAGAGCCTTCTCTTGCCTAGGCTGAACAACCCCAATTCTCTCAGCTTGTCCTCACAGTGGAGGTGCTCCAGTCCCCTGATCATCTTTGTGGCCTTCATCTGATCCAGCTCAAGCAGGTCCATGTCCTCTTATGTTGGAGGCCCCAGAGCTGGATGCAGTACTGCAGGTGGGGTCTCACGAGAGTGGAGATGAGGACAATCCCTTCCCTCGATCTGCTGGCCACAATTCTCTTGATGTAGCCCCAGGATGTGGTTGGTTTTGGGGACTGTGAGCACACATTGCTGGCTCATAGTCGGTTTTGCATCCATTACTACCCCAAGTCCTTCTCCGCAGGGCTGCTCTCAATCCACCCATGGCTCAGCCTGCATATATGCTTTTCGGATTGCCCCAGCCCATGTGCAGGTCCTTGCACTTGGACTCGTTGAATTTCATGAGATTTGCAGGGTCCCACCTCAACATTAACGTTTTGCAACTGCAGAAGAGGAGATTTAGGTGAAAAAGCCTGTTGATCAAGAGACAAAGAGAAATCTGTCTCTTCCAGCCAGTGTGAATGGGACCACTTAGCAACTCTAACGAGCCGGCACTCCGGGCGGCCTAGCCAGAGGCAGCACATTCCCCTCCGCTCCGCCCCACCCCCCCGCGAGTCCATCTCCCGCGCAGGTCGGCGGGGGCTGGTGGGGCACCCGCACGACACATCCCTCTTCAGCCATCATGCTTGAGGAAAGGGGAGACGTGAGACTTTGCGGACCGCGCCATGGCACCCGGCTCCTCAGCTGGCTGTACATTGAAACGAATTAATTATGTACGAATTTGTTTCTTTCCTCGGTGTGCGGTGTGTTTCTGGAGTGAGGAAAGCAGAAAAAGAAGCAAAACACTCAAAGAGCTTTTAGTATCCACTAAGCAGTATTAGTTTTACTGTGTGATTTAATCCCACGAGTTTAGTTTGTGTAATTTGGCTAAAACCGAGTTATCTCATCGCTGCAGCGGGTGGCAGATAACGGAGCGGACAATCCCCACCAGGACCCCTCGTTTCTCCAGCGACGACGAAACCTTCCGGGTTCGTCAGTCCGGCCGTAGCAAGTGGAGATTTTCCTGCTCCCCCCCGGCGGTACCAGAGACGGGAATTTTAAGACAGATCCACCTCCAGGGGGGGAGGGACCCGGGGTCTATTGCGAGCGAGTCGAAGGGAAGAGCGCGGTGTAACAGGGAGGTAAGTGGAGAAGAGAAGCAGGGAGGGAGGCCGAGCTGGGCGGAGGGGATGGGAGTGTCTCTGAGGGGGCTGCTCTGCAGCATCCTCCAACGTCTCGCACTGCAAGAGGCTCTTGGGGGCAGCGAGGAGAAGGCAAAGAAAAGGGGCGCATATCTCCGGGAAGGGTAGAGCAGGGCCCCGGATTTTGAAATCCAGAAACAAGCTAGTTCCTTTTCACTTTTTCTCCAATGAAAGTATTTTTAACTCTCATTGTCGAGAAATAAACCTGTAGAGTAAGCGGAAGAGTCCACGTTACTCAGTTCAGATAAATGCTGTGAATACAACCTCAATTCTTCTGAAGCTTCCTGATGTCCCTTGTTGTTTATACCCTGTGTCATTTCCTGCTGAGAAATATCTGTTATGCAAACATTCTTAAGTGGAAAATACTATAGAAATGAAAAAAGAGTAAAGGACTTACCTGCTTGGTGTTATGAAAAAGGTTTCATCACTCTGTCTTTATCAACATTTTAGACACCGTCATTGTTTGATTTCTGTCCTGTCAATAAATGCACAATTAGAAGCTGCTATTATAAGTCCAAACCACAACACATACACATCCCATGAGGTTTTGCATTAAGGCTAAAACTCCAGGAGTTAAATATGCCTTACACCCATGTGACCATTTTACTTCTTCCATTGGGAATTGTACCGGCGATTTCAAAAGGCAGCATTTAAAAACTCCTGCATGTAGGGAATGGAACCGATTCAGTTAAATTGTCTGGGCTTCCTGAGCCAGCTCAGCTGAGCCCGGACACCCGGCTTTGCCTGTGATGAGCTAAGCCCGGTCTGCTGGTGCTTGGAGGACAGGAGGAGGCAGCCCTGTTTAAAGACTTATCTCGATGTGTAGAAAGATTGGGACTGTCATTCCTATGGTAATTCTTGTCCTCTTTTGTAACTGGTATGATAAAAGAAGCTAACCTTGTTTCCTTGTGTCCCAAGCACACAAAGCAAAAAAACTATCATGCGAAGTGTTCAGAATGTTTCATGTTGCAGTGGCTACTACTTGCTACAAAAGGAAAAGAGGATGGACAGAACAGATACATGCATTTCTTCATAGCTCTGTTGTGGCACAAAGGTAGTGCAAGATCCTTTATTTTCTCTGAAGTCCAAATTGCAGCTGTAACTCTCCGTGTGTGCCCTCTTAATTTGGCAATTATTTATTTCATTTTCCCATGACCCTTTCCAGTACAAAAAACTACATGCAATGAAAGTAGAACTGCAAGTACAAAGAAGTTGTGGATTTTACTGGTGATGCAAATTCCAATTTGTCCTCTTACTTCCTTTAGAAACTACTTATTTTCTAGTTTTAAAACGCAACTATGTCCAGAATTGCTTCCTGAGCTTTTCTGTGTTAAAAAAAAAAAAAAAAAAAAAAAAAAAAAAAAAAAAAAAAAAAAAAAAAAAAAAAAAAAAAAAAAAAAAAAAATGGAAGAACCTTTGTGATTAATACTTCATATAATTTTTGACAAGGAATGCTTTTAGAACCACCTCTCCATCAGGATGGGCTGTCAAATAATTGAGTTCACTTCAGCCACCAAAGAAACCCAACACAAAACCTAAAAAACCTTTCCACCTTTCCCCAGCCCCAGAGGAAAGAGCCACCCCGGCTCATTGCAATGCTTCTTCCTTGCAGGTATGTGAGCCTGAAAGGGAAAAAGGGTGTTCCCAGCTGCATTTCCCTCTACTTCCAGCCCTCTTCTCCAGTGAGATTTGTGTCATGTCTTGAGCTGTGCTGGTATGCTGTCTGATATGACACTACCTCAAGACCAGGTTTCTGGAGACCAAAAACTCAATTTTTTCCTTTCCAGTCTGAACCAGGCACATTTTCATTACTGGCCAAAAACATTACATCAAGGTGAATATGAGGCCAAATCTTTTTCATAGCTTCAGTTAATACTTTCTCCCTCAATACTAATTATTTTGAAATATATTCTTTTCTATTACAACTGGAAAAGAAAGTCTCTGGGGAAACTAACATAGCAATAATGTGCCCTGTGTCTTGAGTAATTATAATCTCTGCCCATTAGGAAAAAACAATTTGATTTCATATGTAGGTGAGCAGTTATTTATTTACTCAATTAAAAAAAAAAAAAAAAAAAAAAAAAAACAGGAGGTAGTACAAAATTACTACAGCCTGTGTGTGATTTATTCAGGTTTTAGATCAGGTGTATGTCATCCATTTCTTGTTTCTAATGCACAGTGCAGTCAGTTAATTAGAGAATATACAGTTATTTGATTACCCAGCTGGTGTATTTAACATTTGCAGAAATAAAAGCACATATTTTTTTTAAAAAAATATGAATAATAAATATAAATTCTACTGTAGGTATGCTGATCTAGAGAAGGTATGTCTTTCCAAAATACTATTAACTATATTATTCTATTTAAAATAAGGGAACTTTTTGTAACTGTTGGATTGTTCAGTATTCTTGATGGCTGGTTATTCTCTCAACTGTAATGTAACTCTGATAATCTGTTATACAGAAGGTTGCTGATATTAAAAAAAAAAAAAAAATAACAAAAGTATTTGTATAACCAAAATAAATATACCCTATATTGAATACAGATGTATTTTGAAGATAGGCATGGAGAATAGATAAAAATATGGCACAAAGGGCCTGTTTAAAGATTATGTATTTTTGCACTTCCCAGTATCGATAATTGTTAGGATTAATAGCCCTGTTTAGTACTAGAAGGTAAAGTACTTGAAGTCTTAGGCTGGAAGAGCTGACAAAAGGTAAACTTTTTGATAAAAATAATGCTGCAGACAGAACTACCTGCAACTGTCAGATGCAAGCAGAATGAAGATCACGACCAAGGAAAATTCTAACAGAATGAAGTAACTTCAGAAGGCAACAAGCCTAGTGACCAAGAAAACCAGTAAGAAATCAAGAGATCGCTAACTAGAATTAAGTGTTTCGACTCAGGGACTGGGCAACAGGTGGTATGGGTGTAATTGGGGAGCATGATCTGCAGTAGGTATCCCTCTTTGGAGGCACCCAGCTCGAGCTGCTCTGTATGTCAGATAAATAAACCACTTATTTATTCAGCAGATTGGAGACTTATCATCTTTGATCAGGAACCTAGGCCTGAGACCTCTTGAGGTGGTATATTTATAATTCCTGTTATGGTCTATGTAGTGATGGTATAATTCCTGATACACCAGGATAATGTACTTGAACACTGTGCCATCTGACCCTTGCTGAGTGAAGTTATCTGGGTAAAGTTGATTTAAAAATACAAAGAACACTGTTTGAACTGAATAGGAAAAAACATTAAAGAACATGAATGATGGAAGAATATGCTGTCATATAATTTTATATTCCCACTATTTTCTTTATTAATTTTGAATGTTCATCATCCTGTGGGATGAAATTGATATGTTTACTGTTCTTGCCGAGCCTAAATCCTCCTACTTTTAACTTCAGTGAGAAGAATAAGGACACATTTTCTGTGGTCATTGGTTTTTGTCATTTCAGACACTTTGGTCTCAACACTGGTAGAAAAATAATGCATGTGTTATGAGGTACATTACGGCCTTGACTGTGATTGAAAAACAGCCCTGGGAAAGAAAACAAGTTCAAAGGAAAAAAGGTGTTTATGCATACCTGAAATACCACAAGGGGTTGGGATATTATAATGTGACCTTTCAGATGTACCCAATGGCTGAGATATTATAATGTAACCTTTTAAATGTATCCAATAGATTTGTGAGTAGTGTATTGTAGAGTGCTTATATAAGGTGTGATTTCTTTCAATAAAGTTGAAGCTTGCTCTATCATTCACATTGAATCGGCTGCTTGCTTCCTCCGTCCTCCGCAGTGTTATAATCAGATCTGATGTGTGTGTACAGATAGAAATTGTCTGCACATTATAGCCCCCTAGTTTGCCTTATCATTTATACAGAGATTGGAAGAAGAAATCATAATCAGCATTTTCTTTTCTGTAGAGTTAAGAGTTTCATGAGCCTAGAAATAATTTCACATACTTGAAAGAGCCTTTGTGAAAAAAACCCCAACCCCCATGAAATTTCTGTGAAAGCTATGTTAATGAAGTGTGTAGCATGGAGCATAAAAAGGCAGGAAATGCAAAAACAATGCTTATGGATACCTCCACTGGGAGGCCAAAGGGTACCACCTAGCTACTACTTTAACACAAGCAACAGCGATGCCCTGTGATAGCTCTAGTTTGAACTAAGGATATTTTTTTTATTTTTTTTTTTTAGTACAATGTAACTGAATTTGACTTTTATATGTCTGATTATAGAGAATAACAGGCACTGACAAATTCTTTTGATGTTCACCATCACTGTGAAAATATGAGCACTTTGAGTACATGATGTTTTCTAGGGTCCATTGCTTGTGACTCACACATCCCCTCCCACAAAACTCCAGAATACACCATGATTTAGTTATCTTTTTAGATACTGGACACATACAGAGGCCTAGAATACGAAAACTATGTTTTAGAGTTTACATTAAGGCACTTGCAGAGCAGATCTCTAAACACTATTTGAAGCTGCTGAGGAATGCAGCAGGGAAGATGCCTCTTTGCCCTGTATATATGAAATCCAATCTGATGGGTTCCCATCTGCCTTTAAACTGAAATTAACTTTGATAGTTTGGTGGCAGATTTAAGAGACGCCTGGTGCCTGTCTCTGTACCACCAAACAACATGCAGTCAGTAATAGAAAGGTTGACTTTTGGGATTATATGGTCTCTGTATGAATTAAGTGGGTTCGGCAATCCACAGCATCTGCCTGGAATTCAGTCTTATTCAGACCCATTTTGAAAGAAGAGGTTAATGGCTTTGGTCTGCACCCATGGCAGCATCTAATTACCTAAGAATGTGATGGAGTGATTCAGAAAGCCTGAGTTGAGGCTGAAGACTTTAGGGCTGATTAGTGGGTATATAACAAACTCTGATAGTTTATGACATCAGCCCACA